AAACGAATTGGTGCCAGGAATTGCAAAATTACAGGAAAGCGAAACTCTACTACACTACAATTACTCTGTCTCACGAAATCATGATCTTCCAAGTAACCAAGTCAAAAAACATGACACAAGTGCCAATTAGAGGGAAGAATGAGTTCACCTTACCCTAAGAAAACAGAGATGGAATATAAAATCAAATGAATGGTGGGAGCGTAAATCAATAATTCATATATCTTTTAATTAATCTTATTTGCCATATGGGTTACAGAACCGAATTCGTTTCTTTATGCCTAATTTTCTTCTGCTTAGGCTCATATTTTACACAAAATGAATATTTGCAGACACAATTGGTTTGTCCTAACCATGATTGATACTTATGGTCATTTTAGCTTAAATGTTCAATTAATGAAAAGTCGTATTAAGTAACCCCTCGTGATCATTGTGATTTGGTGGAACTCCTGCCGTGAAGTGGAATGACCGGCTGCACTGATTAAGACAGCTTAATACAGCGGTTGAAAGAATTCGCGTCTCCTAAACCAAAGATATGTTAATATCGAATGCAGGCGTTATCATTGACCCTTTAGTTGACTTCGGGCTTCACAGGGGGGGGGGGNGGAATATCAAAGTCTCAGAAAGTGGAGAGGGGGGGAACAGAAGAGAGTGATTCACCGATGTAAAAAAGACATAGAGACACAAAGGTAGAGAAAAGGTAAGGTGAGTACTGTGAAAGTGGACGAATGTGACTTACAGTTGGGTCATGTTAGTTTGATATCAGCCACAAGTTTATAAACTTTTTTGTTATATATGCTGCCCAGGGTGTATCAAGTGGAGGTAAGTTTATCGTGTAACTTGGACAATGTATACTCATATGGTAATAAGTCTATGAACTGGTAGTTGACTTGTGATCATGACCCAACTGCAAGTCATATTCGTCCCCTTTCACAGTACTCACCTTACCTTTTCTCTGCCTTTGTGTCTGTGTGTCTCTTTTACATCTGTGAATCACTCTTCTTTTCCCACTTCACAGTACTCACCTCACCTTTCATCTACCTTTGTGTCTTACACAGTACTCATCTTACCTTTTTCTCTACCTTTGTGTCTGTACACAGTACTCACCTTACCTTTTCTCTGCCTTTGTGTCTGTGTGTCTCTTTTACATCTGTGAATCACTCTCTTCTGTTCCCCCCCTCTCCACTTTCTGAGACTTTGATACTTCTCTCCCCCCTGTGAAGCCTGAAGTCAACTAATAGGTTAATGATAACTATCATAAAGCTTGCCATTTGATACAAATAATATGCCTAAAACCTAAAGAGTCATTTTTTAAAAATGCCGATAGTTTATATATCAAGTAACTTTGAACTACCTAACTATCACTCATCAAAGGTTGAGGTTTAGTATGAATGATTAATCTGGTATTATTAACCATTTCGTTCACTTGGTGTACATTTATTTATATCAAATGGCAGGCATTTTGATAGTTATCATTGGCCCTTTAGCTGACTTCGGACTTCACAGAGGGGAGGAATAGGCAGAGTCTCAAAATGTGGAGAGCGGGGAACAGAAGAGAGATTCACCGATGTGAAGGAGACAGGCAGACATAAAGGTAGAGAAGAGGGTAAGGTGAGCATAGAGAATGTGGTCAAACATGCATTACAGTGGGATCATGGTAGTTTGAAATGAGAAGTCAACTGTCGGTTGATAGACTTTCTACCGAATGAGCATACGTTCCCCAGGGTGAACCACGTGGAGATAAGTCTATCGCACATCCCACTTGGTGTGCATTAAAGTATCTCAAACCGGTATCTTTTGGCATCGAAGGTGAATACGTTAAACATTTCATCACTGGGAGTTACTTTTCAACCGCTGAAGTTCATTTTAAATTTGGCAAATTATTCGATCCAACTTATCTCTGCTGCGTAGCCCTGGTACATAGGTTATAATTGGAGTTTCAATGTTTACCGAAAGGGAATCACCGCTATATATAATCATGACTCATGACACAGTTAGTCACCCAAATGCAACTTGCACATAAGCACACAGACTACTTGGCCATGTTTCTAAGGTTTGACGCCAGCGTTCTCGGGTTAAATAGTTGGACCTGCTATTTGGAGGCTTTATCCGCTAATGGCAATCTAAGATTGCTTACACATGGAGGGAACATGAAACTTACCTTTATCCAAATAAGGTATGGCGATTGGACTTATCACCAATAATCTAAATGCCATATTCCATGGCGTGGCAACTGGGATTTCAGTGTTCATAAAAATTGAGTTTGGTGTGAACTCTGGAAACCTTCATACACTCTGTGCCCATTATAATGTTACATTCACTAATTAATATTTTCTGTAGGCGATACTTACACACGCACGAACGCACACTCACACAAACACACAAAGACTATTCATTAGCTTGTGTGAATTTCTAAATGAATGACTCAAAAATTCAACAAGTGTTCAATTCCATCGGTGAATATTCAATGGGTGGGTGTATTGACCAGCAGACAGATCACAATCTAAAATTTGATGATTTCTCAATTAAGTAGTGGGCGAGTTACCACAACGGAATCACATTAGGAAAACATGCTAATTATTTTTAATAAAACGGTACGCAGTATTAAAACATTCATTATAACATTTATTTATTTCAAATTGCAGGCGTTATGATAGGTATCATTAGCCCTTTAGATGACTTCGGGCTTCACAGAGAGGAGGAACATCAAGGTGAGAAAATTCGAGAGGGGTAAAAGAAGAGTGATTCACAGGTGTAAAAGAGGCAGACAGACATAAAGGCAGAGAAAAGGTAAAATGGATACTGTGGAAGTGGTCGAATATGCCATACAGTGGGGTGATGGTAGTTTGAAGTGAGAAGTCAACTGCCGATAAATAGAATTTTTTGCCGTATGGGTATACGTTGCCCAGGGCGCACCACGTGGAGGTAAGTCAATCGCACACCCCTCATTATAACATAATTTTTTCTGATCATATATCAGAATGGCTTAACAATGGGCTACAAATAGTCCAGATAGAGTGGAAAAGCAGAAGTGCTTAGACTCAATAACGTTTTATTGGTATAATTCGGTTTATTGTTAGTGGCATGAGTAAAAGTACAAAGAAGAATGTGAAATCTGTGCTCATATTAGCGGAATAGGATTGCTGTGCCTGGGAGCGCTAATAATGATGGGTTTGGAATGATACATGCATAACATGAACAATTTTCCTGTACGCCAATACATTTACATCCCTTTCAATCATGTGATAATATATTTTATATTAAATGCTAATCATTATCCAAGTTTATTCACTGTTTAGTAAAAATCAATTTTTATATCAAATGCCAAGCTTTATGATAGCTATCATTAGCGCATTAATCGATGTCGGGCTTCACAGAGGGGAGACATATCAAAGTCACTAAACGTCGAGAGGAGAAACAGAAGAGTGATCCACAGATGTAAAAGAGAGACAGACACAAAGGCAGAGAAAAGGTAGGATGTGTACTATGGAGGTGGTGGAATATGACATTCAGTTGGGTCAAGGTAGTTTGAAGTGAGAAGTCAACTGCCGATCTATAATCCTTTTTTGTCGTATGAGTATACGTTACCCAGGGTGCCCCACGTGGAGGTAATCCTAACGCACACCCCCTATTCCAACAAATTGATGTGGCAAATGCATGCTAGGAGGGCAAATCGAATTTTTCGTAGTCATTGTCCCACTTGTGCAGGATAATCGACCCTTGAGTCTCCATATTCATGCCTGGATAATGGAGACGACTCTAGTGGTCGTAGCTACAATTATTTCTTAACCAGACAGCCAAACATTGATCACTTACTGGAAAGTCTTCTCTTTTCCTCTTCTTTGAGTCGGATTACCAACTGCCAAATTTTAAGACCAACGAGGTGGGACCCGTGTACCAACCATAGTTCTCATTCATTAACCTCAATTGCTCACCGTAATACACGTCTAGCCAGTCCTTAGTCTGACCTCTCAGAACTCAGCTATGATGGGTTCTATGTTGCGTGTTAGTGTCAAGGTTACTTAAATGAGTGGCTCAAATAGTAGGTACCATAACTGTACGAGATCTCAAAACCGACTAACCTCTATCCTCAACTAATACTATTAATGGTATCTGTGTCCCCATTGGCTGACAGCATAACTTTCAGCTCCAACGATATTAAAAAATATACCAAGATTTAACATCGTAAGGCCGCATTATCCTAAGAGTCTTCGTTGGTAGAATACATCACGGCGACATTTATTCAAATACCCGCAGTACACCCAAAACGTGTAGATAAAGTGATTCCTCAGCATAAGAATACCTGTAGTAATTTCCAAGATTTCTGTTTGAAAAGATAATTCAGCTTTTGTTTTAAGACAAGTACATACATTCTATTACAATGCCTCTAAAACATGAAATAAGCAAAAGTACATTTCAGAGACGAATTACATTTCATCGCCCTCAATCAAGTACATAATACTTTTATTTAGTTCCATGAGTTGTCCAACTTATTTTTAATATACTTGATAGGGGACAAGATGAAACACACGCACGCACGCACACAGGTCAAAATAGTGGAGATGTGTATAGGGAGATGAAGGAGTCCAAATAAGGGAATAAAAACAAGATGTGAGAACCAAAGTTGGAATAGACCATCATCATACACACATAGAGACGGGCACAAGGGCAGAGGTAAATGAGGGGGGCCGGAACAGGAGAATAGGACTTGAGCACAAATTTAACAAAAACAAATCAGGAGGCGCGGAGATGGGTTTAAAGGAGTAGCCTGGGAAATGCAAAAAAACGAATGTATCTCCGTGGGTGCATAAGAGAACCACGTACGTATTTCCTACCATCTCAATGGAAAACAAAGCGGGTGATTTCTCCTTACATGTACAGATGGCGAGGCAAATCGTTGTCTACATACCTACCTACCTGCGTGTGTGTGAGTGTGCAAATACACATGCATATTTATATAGAATGCGAGAAGGGAGAGAGTTAGGTTTGTTTTATATAGAAGTTTACAAAATCATCGGATCCTTGTACAGCAAGTCGATCTGATTCTTAAATGTTCGACGGAAGGCGACACGAAGTTTCTTCTGAGTTGGAGTTACAAGACCAGACTCTACTGTGAACTCATGAGGAGTCAAGAAGAGTGACTTGGCTTGTTCAAAGCCCTTAAGTCCAGCTTCCTTGCCCAAACGATTAATGTCCTTTAGGACAAGGATACAAGCTTCTTTCATCCCACAGAGTTCCTCATCAGAGATTGATTTTGGCTTAACAGTTCCACCATTGGCCATTCCATTGCCTGAAGATCCATTGGAATTTAGATGCATAGCTTCACGCAGTGCCTTCATATCAGGAACACAGATAGCTATAGCGAAAGACTCGCTCGAGTTACCATCTAGGAAAATCTGATTCACAAGATGGCTTTGGGCGTACACCATCTCAACACGCTCGGGTGAAACGTATTCGCCTTGAGCAAGCTTAAACATATTCTTGCAGCGGTCGACTAGTCGCAAAGAACCACGCTAAAAACAAAGAGCGCCGAGTTAAATTATATGAATTCTGATCAAGATATTTCTACTTGGGCGAATACTTACTGAAGTCCATGTACCAATATCACCAGTATGAAGCCAGCCATCTTTATCGATCAGCTCAGCAGTGCGTTCTGGGTCTTTATAATAGCCCTTAGTACAGCTGGGGCCTTTCACACAGATCTATTTTAGATAAAAAACAGACGCATTAGGAGTGGAAACAAAACAAATTAGGTGAAATTAGGAAGGAGCGCGATGACTAACCTCTCCGGCTCCGTCTCTAGAAACAATGACATCCATGTCGGGAACATCGATCAATTTAACCATAGAGCATGGCAGTGGAGTACCGGTATGACCCGCAATATAGTCGAATGGAAGGGTCATAATCATGGCACCGCAAGTTTCAGTCAAACCATAGGCTTCATAAGCATGAACTCCGAGAGCAGCACGACAAAATGAGTAGACTTCTTCAGAGATTGGGGCACTACCACAAGCAAAGAATCTCAAGCGACCACCCATTCTATCTTGAATTTTTTTGAGAACAAGTTTATCCCAAATTGTGGTCTTTGTTACAATACCCCTGAAATATGAGAACAATAAATACTTAAGTCTTGTAAGCAGAAGGAGCACGAGAAAGTTTAAAATGGAAGGGGAGAGCTTACTGTTTAACATATTGCATTTTGGCATTGACAGCAGTCCTTAAGAGCCACTTTTTGAAAGATGAGTTGGCAACAGCTGCCTGGACTGTGCCATAGAGACGTTGGAGAACGCGTGGAACGGCGACAAAGAGAGTTGGTCGGAGAGCCAAGATATCATCAGACAGGCGACGCAAGTCACCACCGTAAAATCCGACAGCTGCACCGCGACCAAGGGAATAGTGCTAAGAGGAAAGGAAAACGATAATATTTTACACAAAGACGAAAAAAAGGAACCGTCTTACCATCACAATTTGTTCGAAAACGTGAGCAAGTGGAAGAAAGGAGAGATAGTAGTCTCCAGGTCTGATGTTCTACAATGTCAGAGGGAATTGAGAAAGGGGAGTCGAGGGATGGTATTATAATGATGGGGGGGGGGGGGGGAGGACTAACCACATGTTGAAGATCCATATCAAAGCCAGCAATGACCGAAACAATCATCCGATGCGTAATCATAACACCCTTGGCTTTACCTGTGGTTCCGCTGGTGTAACAAATCAAGTGAAGATCGTCAGGCTTAGGAAGTTTTTCCGATTTTGCTCCATCAACACCAAGAGCCTATTTGAAGACAAACAGACCTATGGTCAACAAGATGGAATGACTAAATATCCTACATTACGATATTATATAGACGCCATAGTACAATCTTATAAGCCTGCTGTGGCTGTAAAGGTATACTTTTAAGACTCTCCAAAGCGAAATTGCAACCTAAATCAGTAAAAGCCTTATCGCATTTAAACACATATTTCCCAGATGAGTGAAAATGTAAATTAAAAAATCTCGGAATAGACATGGACAGACAAATAGAAACCTTAATGCTAGACTAAAACTGAATATCGCTTCAAAACCATGAATAGATTCTCCTCAAGTCAAGTAAGCGAAAACTCACCAAAACTTCCTCAAATGTGTACAATCGGATATCTTGGACTTTAGCTTCTTCACGCAAAGTTTCCAGTTCATCACACTCGTGGACAAGAATGATATTTCGGACTTTTTTACCCGTAGTAGCCACGTCGGCAAGAATATTTCGAACTCTAACTGACGAATCACAGAGACAGAGCGTCAGTTCAGCTAAAAAGCAAGAAAAGGCTGCTGATTAAACCACTCAAGATTACTAAAAGGTGTCAATTCAATTTAAATTACTGACTTTGTTGCAAAATGTGTCTACGGGCGTCTTCGCCCAAAGTGTCATAGAGTGGAACAATAACATAGCCAAATGTTGAACAAGCTTGTTGAGTTAAGGCCCACTAAAATGATGAAAACAGGACGATGAAGATAATATGCGAAATAGAAACAAATTTCTAAACATAGAAGAAAAAACTAACTTCAACACAATTGGTTGCGTAGATACCAATAAAGAATCCGTCTTTAACTTCAGCGGGTTCAAGTGTTTTTAGACCCGAACCGAGACGGCATACCCTTTTGTAGGTCTACATAGATAGAGGTAAAGTAATTAAAGAGAGATAGGCACCTCAGCATAAGTTATCCATCTGTAAGGAGCATCAGGTGTGGGTCGCCATCCAAGACATGGACTGTTTTCTTAAGAAATTGTAAAAATAAAGTTAATATTCAACAACAAAAATTCAACAAAAAATATTAGACCTACTTGCAATCTCAATACCATGTTGAAATACTTCATGCACAGTTGACAGATTCCCCATTAATTTATCGAGGAGAGGTCCATCTTTTGTATAAGGTGATGTTCTAATTCCTTCCTGAAATTGAAAAACGATTTAATGGTGATGTAACGTTTGATATATGAAGGAGCATAAGGAAAAAAGTTTACCTTTGCATCATAAATATAACTTTGATTATTCAGTGTGTCATCGAGCTTTCGACGGCGTTCCTTGTTGTCCTGCATTGATCTGACAAACCACGTTAAACAGATAATTCCAGCAGTTGCTGCGAGAACACCGGTCGAATAAAGGTTTATATCTAAGGAAAATAAAAATATTTGTCAAAATCTGGAGATTGTATTTGGTAAAAGATGGCAAGCATCTAAGTATTAAAATATAAAGACGATTGGCAAGCGACAAGGAATTAAGATGATACAAGGGGATCATAAATTGGGACGATAATAAACACCAACCAAACATAACAAGTATTCTGATAATGTGACAGGACTCTCGAGGTTCGCTAGTTAAAGCAGTCAATGGTGGCTTAGTCAATTTAAAGCAAAAGCAAACAATTCAATATTAAGATTTAAAATATCAATAGCAAAGACTGAAAATATTTTATTTCAAAAGCTCGAAATTTTTTCTTCTGAGCCATTTTGTTAAGCAGATGAAAAAATTTAAACATTTGTTATTATTAATATTATATACTTCTGAAATACCAATAACAGGTTCATTTTAATAGCGAAATTTTACCTTAAACTTGTATTCATTTTCAAAAATTGCTTTTAAAATAGTGCATATACCTTTAATGATAAGATTAATGAAGTAGATAAGTGGTTGGTTATGGACTTTGGCCGACATCGGTTTAAAATGTGTATTAAGCTCATGGTTTTAACTGAAAAATTTTATATATATTTTGAAAGTAACTTAAGAAATTTTAAATAGTCTCATGTTACTCCATTTATTGGGCATGCAATATGAGTAAATAAATTCAACGTAGGCCGCAATGTATACATTGACTATAAAAACGTCCTGTTGCATATAAAACCTGGGAAATTAGTAGTTAAGTAACGATATACCTACATTTATCCAAGGTGCCATAATGTTCCTGTTTATTAGGCAAATTACAATGTTTGTAGGTTTACTTGTTTTCTCTACTTATCAATAGAATATAATGGCACGTTTTAATGGATTATTCAAATTTTTAAAATTAAATGCGGGATGAACATAATTAACTAAAGCATAGAAAATCTAAATTAATTAATTCCTTAAAATTTTCATATAAAATTTAATCTAACTCGATATTGGCACACGATTTGCCAGATTGCGAATATTTACTCTTACAATTGATACATTTCGAGTGTATTAAAATCTCCACGTATTTTAATACATGATTGAAAATCACTTTCTGTTAATCCTTAATTAAATATCGGCAATATTGTTTGGCAAAGTCTTCCAGTATGATTATGCTCCAAATTTACCTAGGTTGCTTAAACATTATTGGTAAAATAAAGGGAGAAAATGAAGGGCATTTATTGCATACGATGGAAGAGAACCACATACCTAGTCATTCTATTCTAAGTTGCACTTACTCCATTACTTATTGGCAGTAGATTTTACACTCACTGTCGAACATGACAGAAGGGGCAAGGTTTTAATGTAAGTCACTTTTCCAGACTTTAGACCACAGTGAAAGCAATACTGTAACCATAGCAAAGGACATCATTGACATACAAACCTCATATGGTAGACCAAGAACTTGATTAACGTAATCTAAAATGGTATACACACTATGAAAAGTTCTTGATCTTCGTTTCTTTATTCCTTAAGATTATCATTACCACGCGAGAGCTTCAAAAAATTAGATTCAAAAGATTTGATACACTAATTTGGAAGAATGGAAACACGAGTTCCCATTGTTACAGAACGATATTATATCGATTTAATTATCTATAACGCCATTTAATCGATCTTAGATGCCAGTCACTATTTAATGATTACAAATAAAAACAAAGAAAATATACTTTAAATCTTGGAAAGATAAAAAAATCAATTATTAATTGAAATTATACTTTAAACTTGACTTAATATATGAGCAAGGCAACACATTTTTCGCCAAACATTGAATATGCTCTTGAGAATACTAAATTGTATATTAGCTCTTACATAGAAAATTTGTTTGCACTTTTAATTTTTGAAATTTAAACCAGATAAAATAAAATTAGGGTAAAACTATGTGCAAATAGTAAAGTGGAATTTAAGGGTGTAAGGAAGTTGTTGAAACATTACAGTAAGATGCATATAAAGTGTGAATAAAATCATTGGAAGTTACAATATTTATTTTGTAAATATTTAATAACATTAAAAAAGAGATTGAGTAGTTTGTTTATTTTGGCTTTGTCAACTGTCTTCTTTACGATTAGGCTTGAAGTCCTTCTTGCAGATTAGTTTGCTGTTTGCTAGTTTCCAGGAATATTGTTACCATTTATGTAATTAAACTATCTGTTCCTCCTTCTTCCAAGCAAAAAAATATTTTATCGTTTGTTACACTCTCGGTCGTTACGTCAAATTTTTTTACGATGGTGGAAATCGCCGAACTGGAAAATCCAATTAACCTACAACGAAACAAAAAAGTCCGACTGACTACCTTTACTTCATCCGCATCCCTTGTTCTTTCCTGGCCATTTCCTTTAATTATTCTCTGTTTTCAATCAAATCAACGACTTATTTTTGATCCCCGAATATATACTGCTCTTATAATGTCATTTCTTTTTTCTGGCTCCGTAAAGCGCCTTCTTCTTCAACGGTTCATCAAGCCAACTTTTTTAAACGCTGTTATACCCACCGTTCTGACTCTTATTGGGAATGGTGTGTTTATGACTGCTCTTTATAAGGGCGACAATTGGAATTTTATTTCTGTCTTCTTCATGGTGGGAAGTCGTCTATGCTTTGGCTGGTCAACTTATACAGCTGAAGACTATAACCGTCGTGCTAAGAATGCTACAAAATCTGACAGAGAAAAATTGCGTCTCAAGCAGCGTGTCGAAGATATGGTACCAGACTTACAAGATGCTGCTTTTCATGCCGGTGTCATTGTCGCCCTGATCGTTTGCTTCATTCTTGAAGTATGTTTTCTATCTGTCGGTCCTCAAATGTCAGAATTCTACTCAGTATTGATTCTCTCTGGATTCTCCTCTTTAATATCTTTTTTATCTGTTCCAAGTTTACACAAAGCTGTAAACGGAATTGTGGGGGTTCCTGTAAGTGGAATGAATGACGACCATGAGCCTTCCTCAAATCAAGAAACTAATCAATCTCGATCTGATGTAGGTGTTATTTTGATAAAGGTGTAATAGTTTTCCTTCCATTATTTTCATTCGTTCATATTGAGGCTTTATGGTTTTTAAGAAGGAAATTAGACTTTTCTCCGAAAACCTTATATTAGAGTGCCAGTTTTTATAATTACAAATTTTTCTACTTTTAACTAATATGGTTCTTTGGAACATTGACTTTATGGTACAAATCTATTTGCTTAGGATTATTTTAACAAAGTAATTATCGCTCTTCTTACACGACTTGAGGATAGTGCTAAACCAAATTATTTTATATATATAACGAAGATTTTATTTTTTTTATATCAAATGGCAGACATTTTGATAGTTTCATTGGCCCTTTAGGTGACTTCAGGCTTCACAGAGAAGAAATATCAAAGTGAAAAAAATCGAGAGGGGGGGGGGAACAGAAGAGTGTTTCAAAATGTAAAAGAGACAGACATAAAGGTAGAAAAAGGTAAGATGAGTACTGTGAAATGGGTTGAATATGGCATACAGTGGGAGTAGTTTGAAGTCAGAAGTCAACTGCCAGTTAATAGACATTTTTGCCGTATGAGTATACGTTGCCCAGTGTGCACCACGTGGAGGTAAGTCTATCGCACACCCCATATAACGAAGATTTAAATAACGGTCTTCAAATCGATTTCATTCCTCTCGTCGTTTTACGATGGTATCTTTAATGTTTTTTCTTAATATTCCAGTTGTGATATACTTCCCTTTGTATATGTCACTCGGTTAGTCAAGTGCATTTTTATTGATTTGCTGTGTGGATATAGTTAGGTAAAGTGATGTTTTTATTTATTTAATAGTAGTTAACGCTCTTTTCAGGAATAACAACATACTGGACATTTACTAGTTCACATCTAGTTTTGAAAGTGTCCACCATGAACCTCGATGCACAATCCACCACGTTTTAACTTTTTTGGGAAATTATTGCAAGTTCCTCAGTATTGCGTACGCTCATTTCAAACTCTTCAATTGTATGCGGATTGTTACAGTAATCTGTGGCCTTTAAAACGTTCCACAAATAAAAACCGAAGGAAAAAAAGATTTGATGATCTGGGAGACAACAGATCTGTAGACACCTTGTGCCCTTCTACGAATGCTCCCCGGTTATATGTCATTGAAAAGCACCACCCCGCTCCTCCTCTGTCAGCAGCTCTATGATTGATTACAAAAATTCCGTTATGAGTTCGCAATGCTATTAACGAACATGGTGCCTACCATCCTTGGGCCTTAAACTACACTCTCAGATCTCATAAAAGACTGGTTTATGGGATTCCGCTCTAATATAGAAAAAAAATGTGTCCTTCTCCCAACTTTGGGGGTTCTTCTATCACACAATTCGAAGGTGACGGAGGCACTGATGGAATATGTAGTTGAGGAAGTGATTCTTAAACTTAAAAATGAATAGGAGCTATTAATCGAGGTACTATGTAAAGTGAGAGGGACTAGTTATAGAACGGAGTAAAACACAGAATTGTAAACACAGAACGTTGGGTCCCCAATTAATCCCTTTGTGCACCAAACAGCATGCCCGGTTGAATATTCTTAATACTGTCTTCTACCTTCTACTTAGGTAGGCATATTTCAATGTGAACTCAGCTAATTGATTAACTGTCATAAGAAGGTAGTGCTAAGCTAATGAACTTTCTCTATAGGCTTCTTCCTTCCTTCGTGTAGATGGCAGTTATCAGTACAACATTCACTTCTGCCGTGATATCCAGGAACAATTATTTCATCTCAACTCTTTTCACCTCTCTCTCTCGCTACGAACATCCACCCGGTCAACTCATAATGATGCTATTCTCCGCGCTCCTCACCACTTCGACAATCCTCTTTGACTATCTCCTTCTACCCTACCTTGTTGTGTACATGCGACGCTATCTCTTCACTGCAAACAATGGGACCTACTTTCCCTTTCCTGACTTTGTCTTTATCTACGCCACACTCTTTGCATCAGAACTGGTCCTTCGAACCTTGGTTCTCGAATACACTGATTTTGGCTTGCGAGCTCTTCGATGGGCTCATTCAACCCTTATTGGATCGTTGGCAGGTGTAGCAGGTGTATCATTTCTTATGCCTACTATCCTCTATGTGTTAACTAACTCGACCTTCAGATTGGAACACAGCGTTTACGGACTTGGATTGTTTGTGGTATGTGTGGTGCAGGGACTCCTGAAAGCAGCACATGATCTGATTGGTGGAGTTCTCTTCACAAAGTACTGCGATATTGACTTGCGTCAGTTGAGGAGGGTCGCGGAGACGGGGGAACAGTTACTTGGAGTTATGCGATGTTTCTTTGCAGCCGTCTTCTTCATTATTGGGGGAGCGGTGCTGTATCACCAGGTTTGTTGAATCTTTTTAATAACTTATCGACATCAAAAGTACTATACTACAAGTTTTTTATTATAAATAACGTAGAGTTACGTCAAGAGTTGTAAAAGGAAAGCGTATATTTATTAAAGTGCGATAATATAGTCCAAGTTGTCTTGTTAATAAAATTCTTATGCATTAACTTCTCTTGCCCATCATTCAAGACAGCCTGGGTTGGGTGATTGGCGTTCCTCTTATTCACCCAATGCAGTCGGCTTTCGGCCCACTGAAATTTCACCACTAGGCATCGTTTAAAAGGCAAAATAAGTGCTCTATACTTGTAAAATGGAATGTGGTCTCAACACATTCCTGCGTTTTATTCGATTCAAGATATTCCCTTTTCTGCTTTTTATGCTAATTGGAAGTGAATTGTGAAGTCGCTTAAGTCGAATATCTCGTCTACAAATGTAAGACTGTCCATCTTCATTTTCTGCACTTATCCTCGGCTCATTATTTACTTCCTGTTCCAATATATATACATGGTGCTATATCTCACAATCCTCTATGAATCGAATTTCGGTGGACCGTTAGCGCTGATTCGAAGAGGATGTTTTTTTCGTTCAAGTACGGACTGGAACGAGACAGTCAATAGAGGATGTTATATGACCCCTTTCAGCGTGGTACAGGACACGCAACTTCTAATCTTGGTTCTAAAAATATTCGATGACTAATTGGCTTGCGGTATAAGCGATATATCAACACACACTACCACCCACGTACATTTGTATGAACAAGTTTTGCGCGCCATTGCCATCCGAATTGGCGTGTAGCAATTTTGATGGTATTGTTTACAAGGCAGAGCAATAAAATAGAGAAAAAATATTAGCCCTTTAGCTGACGTCGGGCTTCACAGGGGGAAGGAACATCGAAGTAACAGGAAATCGAGGGGTAGGGAACAGAAGAGTGATTTACAGATATAAAAGAGACAGACACAAAGGCAGAGAAAGGGTGAGTTGAGTACTGTGGAAGTAGTCGAATATGACATACAGTGGGGCCATGGTAGTTTGAATTCAGAAGTCAACTGCCAGTTAATAGACTTTTTTGCCGTATGAGTATACGTTGCCCAGGGTGCACCACATGGAGGTAAGTCTATCGCACACTCCGAGAAAAAATATCGATTACATTGAATCCACGATAGAAGCTCAAAGTGCTAGTTTTGATAACATGGACTTTTATATAAGTTAAGTAATGCGAAATTCTGCCAGGAGAATCATTTTGGGGGTCTCGATCAAAGTAGGCTTAAAGATAGCCCGCTGTTATATAAAAAAGTAGGACCGGGTTTTAGAGTGAAAACACATTAATGCAAGGTTTCAGTAATGGAAATCCACAGACCAAGACGATCTCTTGAGCACAGAGACACCAATGATGACTTGATGTCTAAGTGTAGTCTTCGCCTATTCAAGATCAGAGCCTTAGGAAGCAATGGCCTTTCTCTTTACATCGAGGCCACTAATTGAATGGGGGGAAGGAGTAACAACACGATGGGGTGAGCCGAGTTGGTGATTGGAATGAGAATAAGCGTCAGCCTAACACGCATGAAAACAAGGTTGTGTCCATGAGGCCCGTTTGCCGCACGCTAGTAGGTGGTGTTTGCCGTTTTGAAATCTTTTTTTCGTCTAATGAGTAATCGACAACAATTATCTGGAAATTAGGACAGAGCGGACGTATGAGTCCCGGTTTGCGTTGGACAGCTGAATATGTTTCGACAATTTTTCCACAAAAACAAGTTGGAAGAAGGCCCAATTGTAAGGAACAAGCTAATGTTACAACGAGAAAATATGTGCAAAGGTCTAATTTTATAAGTATTTACACTCAGTTAAAATATAGATTTCAGCAATTAGCTTATAGGCTCTTCGTCGCAAAATATGCGTCTGGGGCTGCCCCAGCCAATGCTTGCTTAATCTAATTAGTGATAAGTAGACACAGGAGTCCAGACTTCGTCTTTGCCATCTGTAATGACCACTGTACATCTCTACTGCATCTACTGCCTTGGTGTCTTACAAAACCCATTGTCTCCTCACCAATGATATAATTAGGATCTAAGGTATCAGAGTTACGAATTTTCACTTGATTAATGAGTTTTAGGAAGCTATGCTAGAGAATATTTCTGGCTAAAGTTGTGTTGATATATGATGGCGGTCATAGTAATACAAGTGGCCAGTAAAGTAGCCAGTTTCTTTGTTTTCTATTTTTTTTCTGAAGATGCAGGGTTGAAATTCATGAAACTATTCCTTCAGCTGTACTAGTTGAGCATTGGGTTTCCTGAACGGGCTGTTAATATGCGGTTTGATATATTCAATAAAAAAGCATTTTTTGAGTGGGTCATTGATCAAGTTAGCCAGTCAGAGACTTGTGACACACATTAGCTGAATAAATTAGTTGGAATCAATGATAAATTAGATTGAGGGGAATCACTTGCCAAATTGATAAATAGAAGATTAGGGATTCAAATTTGATTGATAAAAAAATTGAATTCTCAGATCATTGTTGGGTAGAAATTAAGGCCAAGTTGATTCATTGCAAGAATCGATCTCAAATTGAAATTATTTACTGATGAAAAGTTAACAGTTTCAATTAAAAGTTGGAATTGAACTGGTGTGCTGAAGTAGACACAACACAGTTCCAAATATCCAGCCCCCTCTCGAATTTTTTTCATTTTGATGTTCCTCCCCTCTGTGAAGCCCGAAGTCAGCACCCTCTGTGAAGCCCGAAGTCAGCTAAAGGGCTAATGATAGACTATCAAAGCGCCTGCCATTTGAAATAAATAAATATTATTTCGCCTGCTATTTGATATAAATAAATATTTTGGAAATTCTTTCCAATACTACTGAAATATTTCCTAACCCTTATATCATTTACTTAAACTCCATCGAATTGAATTGAAAATTGAAACGAGTACTCGTGTCTCCCTTCTTCCCAGCTGGCAGTCTGTAAATCGTAAAAGGTTCAAAAGTCAGTGAATGATAGGGAAAAAAAAACATCAAAAGGGCGAAGAATCCCCGTATTGGTGATGAGAGCCAATCTAGCCTTAAGTGCTAGTCTTGGGCACTATATACGTCTATCACTCGTTATCACTATCGAATTATATACCGACCGTTTAGGTGCACCAAACTTTATCTGCCTGTTTTGTATACGTTGTTGGTCGAAATATTTACTGTACACCCTACTGAAGTTATTTGAGTAAGAACCTAAAATATCGTCACCTCCAGGAGCTATCGTCCTGATTAAATCTATTCCCTAATTGACACGCTTTTCCTTTTTTTAATTTTAGCGTTTCATGGCGGCTCTTATGATGATAGACGTGGTTTATACCATGGCACTTTCAGTGGCTGTTTGGGGATTCGTCAAAGTCTACTCACACGAAAAATCAGTTCAAGTTCGAATTGAGTTCCCGAATTGAAACCAATGTTTCTCTTGCCTACCATTCTTGTACTCTTCTGTTTTGCCGCTTTCCTTGAATGTGTACTTATTTTGAAAATATTGATTTTGTGAAGTATATTTCATGAGTGTATATGTTGGGTATTGAGATGCCGAGTTGTCAAGGTCCCACTTAATGAATGGAGCGGAGGGCAGGTTATGGAGTTGTTGGTCTACGCTAATTGTGGTCGAACAGAGTGTAAACACTTCAAGCTTGTTGAAAGTAGGTTCACTATATTGCTAGATCTAAGTAATACTTGTACCTTAAAGGAGAGAAGATTAATGAGTAAGTCATTGATTTTATCTGGTCAATAGTCAACGGTCGATATCGCTGGGTGTAGAGGTATGTAGGCATAGGGCAATATGTCAGTCATTAAGGTTTTCATAGTCTATGATAATTAGTTCAATTGGGTTGAATTGCGTCTATCCAACCATTTTATCTACGATTTATAAGTAAGACGCTTTTTTGATAATTTCAAATGACGTCAAAAACGGCAACTATACATCATCGGAAACATCTAGGTATGTTGGAAGAGACACGTTCAAGATGATTGAATTGTAGCGTCGGTATTAGAAGTGGGGATCAGGAAATAAGGAGAGCATTACTTCGTCTGAGCCCCAGAATGATGAAGTCAGGTGATGTTCAAAGATGAGATTCCTTCAGATTTGATTCATTCTTTTCAACATTTATTCTTCAGATGATTTTATTGACAAGGGAATCTGTCATTTGGTGGGTCATCTATGGGTTTGAAATGATCGACCCGTCAATGCTTTCCCATCCCACTTTTACATACAAAGTCCTTACTACCGAGATTTTACCCACGCGTATTGCCCATTTTGGACGAAAATGTGATTATTCCTTTTGAACACACCTAGGCACGTAGAACTCTAAGTTATATTACCGGAGAATTTAATAGTTAAATATCTCCATATTAACAAGCTGAAGCGAAAATTTGCAATAAACCTGAAGGAAGTTTTCATTTCTCAATCCGTAGCTTATTTATTTAATTTAATTTAATATTTTTTTCAAACCTAAATACTACCACAACCATTAAGAGGAGAGTCAGGAATACTCGGTGAGAGAAGAAAATTCGAAGCAATGAAATAATGCGTATCACCAATATCGATTTGAACTTGTTATGCAGGACATGCCAGTTTTGCGATTTCACAAACAGCGCATGTTTCACACCAATCACAGTTTTCACTATTTTCTCTACAACCCAGAAGGGGCTAACCTCAAGTTATTGACAAAAAAATTTTATATTAACTTGACAGCTACAATCGAATGTCAAAATTAAGTGTGTAGAAACCTTAAAAAATCACGGAGATTCTTTCTTTCAAAGTTCACACACAAATTTACTACAGTACGAAACATGATGGAAGCTTTCTCGATAGTTGTTCATATGGTGACGTTAAATTTCGACTCGTATTAGTGTCGTTCGCGCGGAAAGTTATACGCCTGCACGTATAATTAACGCCGCGCGAAAATGGGATAACGTGTCCCACAAGTTCATATCTTCGCAATTATGAACATCTGAGTGAAGGTTTCTCGCATGCTATGGCAAGAAATTCGAAGCATGTTGTAACACGACAAAAGTATTAAGTCGCGATTTCTATTCGAAATCGACAGAAATTAAATTGTCGATTTCGACAAAATTGTAATTCCGAAATATTTGTCATTTACATCTTTCTAAAAATTGTATATATATGGTTTATTGGTTCACATAACTTCACGTGACAACTTATCGGAAAATCGATCGGTATTCGTGAGAAATGTGTTACGAAAAAGTGAAACCATATTGCACAAATAATATAATAAAATTTAATTTATAGAAGTAAGTAAGTGACAAATACTTTGTCAATCACAATTCTTTCGGAAGTGAACAATTATATTCTGTCGATTTTGGATAGAAATGGAGTTAAAATTCTCTGACTGAATGAACTTATTCCTTTAACATCATTAGAACCGTGCGTCCTCTTTCAACGTAAGCTCCATTGGCACTGGGCTCGTAACCAAAAGAAAAACACTGGAAGGGATTTTTTTCGAAAAAATGGCCTCGGGCGTTGAATGGGCCAGTGGTTTATTCAAAATTTGTGAAAGACTTTTTAAAGCTTATGTTTGGCAACAAATTTGTTAAATTTACTAATACCGGCAAAAGCAACTTCTTTGGTGCCATTCGGGATGGCAAAAACATAGATATCGTTAAAGGGTGTAATTTTAAGTTGAAGTTTAGCTAACACAAGACCCAACCAGGCGTCATCAACACGTCCAAATCTGGTGAAGCTCATTGTTATTGCCATGGCTCGAGCTGCAGAATAGCCAATTACCGAGACGGGTCCGAGAAGGTGTCTAAGAAAAAGAGGAATGATGGCAATTGTGCTGATATCGCGTCCTTCCATTTCCCACAAAATATATGAACTAATTACGTATGCTTATATTCCAATTCATATATTCGAGAGGAAATCTTTATTTAAACTAAATTTGAACACGGTTGCAACCATATTTACAGAATGCAAACCTCGAAGATTCATGTTGCCTAATGGTCAGGTTGAGAAATTTTGATAAAGTCAGGCTTCTTCTAAAACCGTATTACTGTCATCATGAAACTAACTAGTAATTTCTAATTTCCAGCCAGCTAGCTCGAATAGTTGCCTCATATAGACGAGGCAAGTCCTTTATTAGCCATTGATTGTAGCAAGGCTTCTATAATATCAAATCGTACTAAGTTCTGCAGTACTAGGCCCATCGAAATGGTCATGGAAACGTTTAAAATTAATATAGTTGTACAAGAAAATTTACTTCAGAATTGACTTACGGGGCATGAAAGTTCCATGGTTCCTCTGATTTCAACTGTCCCCACTTCCATC